TCAATATTCTTCCACACCTCTTTCAGAAAATTGTAAAATGAGTTATAAAACAATTAACTGTCTTGCTCAAAAGCAAACAAAGACTGTGCTTTATCATCTCTCAAAGGTTGTCTTATAACATATAAAATGTTCTTAAATCATAATACATTTTTTGTTTGAAAAGTATTTAAATAAAAATGCTTCCAATTATTGGGTGTCCTTTTACTTCAAGTCAGCCAAATAAAATTATATGATGTTATCCTAGCTACATCTGTAAAATCTGTTAAAAAATTTCACCAGTGAGCTTGCTTGGCTATTTCACTTTATATCCAAGAGGTTTCACTTGAAAATTTATGTCTGACTTACCATCATTACTTAGTTTGGGATTAATTTTAAATTAGAATATATAATACTGCTCTTCGCTAACTACAATCCATGCAGTGCATAGTCAGTTATATCACCTCCTTTCTAAAACTATTTCAGAATCAAAGGAAATTGGAAACTTTGAATAATCAGTGTTATTTAAACTGTTCCATACAGACTACAAAGTATATTTCACAGCCAGCACACATATTAAGTCTGTAATATTCCTCCTATTCCAAACCTCTAAGTAAATGAATTACTGTCCTGGCTTTCGTACTGCCTTTAGCTACGTGTGTCACATTGCCAAATGGCTAAATATACAGCTTCGGAAGTCACAATTTGTGTTCATTAGCCATCCACTGCCTACATTGTTTGTTATATTTAAAAGTAGCAGCAACAACTTTCCACCTTCATTTTTAATTCTAAGTTTCTCACATTAGACTATTTTACTGGGGGATGGAATGAGAGGGTGGAAGCAGATAATCCTCTTCTCCAAATTTCTGAAATTATTAGTAAAATAAACATGTTTGAAACAATTGGACAGTGTACCTTGGGATGAATAGATTAAACCAGAGCATTTTCATTATGTCTCTGGCAATCACCCTTTTATCTCATCTTGTGATGAACATCTGTATTTTTTGGCATGTTGTTAGGATATAAATGTGGGGTGTATCTGAACAAACTCTCAATTATAATTCTGCTCAGATGAGATTTCAGGATTACGTTTTCTGCTTTGAGCACCATATTTACTGTTAGGGTAGCAACTGTGTGGAAAAAAAAGCATTTAATATTCAGTTCTGGAATCATTTATCAATTATTTAGCTAAACCTTCTGTTAGTAGGCTTTTTTTTTTAAAAACATGTACCAAATGTTTATAAAATGGGAAAGAGATCCGTCAAGTTACGGTAGCTAAAGCTGTGCTAAAAAGGAAAAATGAACATACGTTACCAGCAGTGTTTCTCATATTTAATGAGTAAAACCATATTCTATTTTGTTGCAATTGTCTTTCCCTGTACAAATAAAGGCCCTGATCCAATAAGCATTTATATGTGTGATTTTGATTTGCACTATCTAATTTATTTCTGTCTTTAAGACACTTTTGCATTTATTTGAGTGGTCCTGGAGGAGCCAGGAAATGGATCTTTAAGCATTTACTTAAATTCTGGTTCACCAGGGGTCCGTGGAGTTCCCAGGTCCAAAGCTCAGCACGTGCAGATTATTGCACAACAAGAGCCAAAAGTAGGAAAAAATCCTGAATTAAAATCAAGTTGGGTTTGGGGAGTTTTTTCCCCTCCCACAGAGTGAATCATCAGTTGGTCTGTGGCTCTGACTGCAGCTCTGGCACTGTTCCCATGGCTTTTACAGCCCCTATTCCACTTGGGAGATTTTTCAGGAAATTGTGTTGTCATGGATCCTTCTGCTCAGCTCCAGTCTGCTCCATGCCCAAAATCCCCTGTGCAGCAGAGTGAGAAATCCCCAGCAAGCCCAAGCTGCATGAGGCACAAAAGGCTATAACTTCTGTGCAACATCCCCCAGTGCTTCCCCAGTTATTCCACTGTATCATCTTAAATAAGGTTTAAAAAAGCATGGAAGCAAATCCAACAGTTGAGACATAAGATGGGGACTGTGCTCTTCTAAATTGGTCTTTCTGAATGTCCCCAGTTCTTAGTCATAATCCAGACTGTCTAGACTTACCAAGTTAGAAACAGACATGTTTTCCTTCAAGGCTGAGCAATTTAATTCAGCCAGGGTTGCTTTTCTTTTCCCCCATTGTTTATTTTACTAAACAAGAACTGTTTTGAGGATGGCAGGCGCCCATCAGAAAGAAACAAGGCTAAAGTTAGCAACAAAGAGATGTGCTGATCAGTAGTGCAGTGCCTAGGATCACTGCTGCAGCTGCTCCCTTCCCGTGTGAGTTGGCCGTCTTCGTGTGGCTCAAGTTCCACCTATGGAACGGATAAGTGAACAGGCAGGGAAGGAGAATCAGCTCCAGAGATGAGGTTGTCAGTGTGTTGCTCCAGCCCGAAGGCAGTGTGAATTGCCTTATTCTGCAGGAAGAGTCAAAAAATCATATTAGCCATAGGTAGGAAAACCCTGTTGCAAAGAGTTTCCGGCCATAACTATAAAAGGGCCAGTTTGCTGGTCTGAGGGATTTGAACAATGTGAATTTTCTGGATTATTTTAACAGCACAGACAAAACAATGAGCATTCAACGTTTTTCACTTAGCTTCTATCAGAGAATTTTTGGAAATACATCCAAACAAGATAAGATCTGAATAAATATCAAGTAGATGCAACAATAGACAGCAGCGACAACTACTAAACTGCTTGCAGCAACATTTAATGCTTTTGAAATGGTTGTACATTGCTTACAGCTGATAGATACGCTTTAGAGATTAATATGAATTTGTCAGAGATCCTGTCATTCAGGTGCTCTGAGAATGGCCCTCAGCTTGGCCTTTGTCTGGTGTAAACCTTCTCATCCCCACTGATGCCCTGTAAGCTTGCTGGCTGTTGAGCATGGTGGAGGGAGCAGTCTTGCCTCTGGTACCGGAGGGCTGAGCACTGCAAGCACTGTCCAGTATCCCAACTCCAAGCCTCTCACTATGGCAGGGAACTGTATAACCTGATGTTTGCCAGTTGTCCTGAAACCACCCTTAATACCAGATGAAATGTGAAGACTATAAAGAATTTTTCTTAGCCAATACTAACGCAGTTACTAGGTCTGAAGATAAGCATAGAAAAATAAATAAACCCCTGCTTATAAAGTCACCTGAACTTCAGCTCTGCTCTAGGAGCTTTCCATCAGCTGTGTAAGCAGGAATAAGCTGTTAGGATGCTTGTATAATTTTGTGGCTGGAAGCCAGGGCTTCTGGCCAGGCTACTGTTTTTCTTTGAAGAGGATCCTGATGTGGGGCTGTGTTTCTCCAGCCCTTCAACTCAGGTTTAAATTTTATTCTGTTGAAGCATCAGAAAAAGGGCAGAACTATTGACTGTGCCCAGACAAACTTTTTTTCAGCCAGTGTCACTACTGTGATGTGGCACGACCTCTCATCTATCGAGACAGTAAAATAGGGTTGTACATGATTGTCAGGTATATCCTTGAAACAAATTATGAGTGAAGTATTTTCTTCTGCCTCATGGCACAAGGTTTGACTCTCTGCATAATCTTTTATATGCCAAACCTGGAGTTTGTATAAATACATCATTTGAATCATGTGTTACAGTTTTCACTGTATGCTTATATGCACATTCATCTGTTTTACCTTTTGCTCAAGACGAGACATGATAGTAATCCAAATATTTTGGCATGAAAATGGGTTTGAGAAACACTCTTATCAATTGCAAGGTTTAATTTCTTTAATTTGTTCTATCAGTTTTCTGTTGAATATTTGAAATGTTTGGCATTTTTTACCCAGCCCATTTAAGTGGATATTTAAGTAAACCAGATTTACATGTATTAAAAGATCCATTTTAAATTTTCCCTTTGGTGAGAGAAAGAGAGAAACTGTTCCATGCAGCAGATGTATAACAGATGCTACTCCTATCACGTACTGCACTACTGGATGATGGCCAGATGCAGTGGTGATAGCATAGCTATTACCATGATAAAGCAGAGTAAAAGAGAGATATGTAAGTAATGTGTTAGCTTCTCCTCCCACCACCTTGTCCACACAAATGGGAAGGAGGAGAAAATGCTTAAGTCTGTCAGCTATCTACATCATCATATACAGTCCCCACAACCACCCACTTCAATAAATAGCAGTTTGAACATGTTTAAGTACTGTGAAGTCCATCCCATCCAGACCACACATGGGCTTGGAAAAGCTGAAATACATGTCACAAATCACACCTTGTTTCCATCTCCCATGATTTGCCAAGAACACACAGCTCCAGAAGCCTACTGAAGTCAGTATGGGTCAAAGGGGAATTCATCTCACCTAACCTCAGCCATGAACAAGCCAAACACCTGAGGTAAAGGCAATCATCTGGACCCTTGTTGCAGTTAACAAAAATAATGGCACCTCCAGAAGGAATTTGTCCTACTCATTATAGATTAGCTGAGTGAGATTAATCCTACCCATAGCGTTTAGGGTCACCTAGTGAATCAGTGTTAAAGCCTGTACATAAAACTCATCTCTTGACTTCAAGTATTGATGTTTGCCATTTGACTTCTCATCAGTTCCTTTGGAAAGGAAACAGGTACTTTTCTAACAGTAGAGATGATCCTTCTTGTCTGAGAAGTACTTTCTTGTGAGAAGGTAGGAAGATATTTTTGAGACAAATCACCAGCTAGAGGTTAGGGGAAAAGTCTTCTGGTGGTAGTGTTCCTCTGGGCACACTCTGCTTTGGAAAACACAGGAAATGAACAGTTACCATAACTGAGTTGTGCAGGGTATAAATATCCCTTGTGGTCCATACGAATTTGCCTTACTTCACTAACCACAGCACAAAGCTCACCTGCAACTCTGAAAGCTGTTTTAAAAAAAGAAGAGACAATGTCCCTTAAACATTAATCATTTCCAATGTGCAGGAAAATGTGACTGTTTTGCACGTGATTGCATTTTAAATCAAAAATCGTTGCACAGAATACAGAAAGGATCTAGTATGAACCTTCTAAAATAAATGATTCTTAATTTCTTTTGTATTTTTTAAAGGTCAAATGCTGCAAATACTGGCCAGATGACACAGAGATATATAAAGACATTAAAGTTACTCTAATAGAAACAGAGCTCCTGGCTGAATATGTGATTCGAACATTTGCTGTAGAAAAGGTAAGTCTCCGAATTCAGTTTTCTTAAATACAGTGGAATCTGCCCCAGTAACTTACATACAGATTCAAGGAGGGAAAGTTAAATCTTTTGACTGACATCCCGGGTTGGTAGCTATTTTTTGATAAACGACTACCGCCCTCTTATGGTAAACTGTGTTTTTCTTTAAATGCAGCAACTTCTCTGTGCTTTCCATCACTGTTGGCCCTTGCCTGACTTAGAAAAAGTGACGTTCCCTGCCTAGCAGAAATCGAAACCTCCCTCCCAGCAATCAGTTGAAAAACACATTCGTGCTGCTTTGCCATCTTTTGTTCCCCACAATCACTTTCTGTCTGTACCAGAGGCTACATGCAACATTAGTCAGAAGTCCATGGTAGAGAATTGTGCTCTCTGTTGGGCCGGTGTGTTCCTGGTCTGCAGAGACACAGTTGTAACAAACTTATTTTCTTCTCAAGGCAATTTCCATCTTCCTATGGAAAGTTCCAATCAGAGTGTTGTATTACTGTCTGTTAGAATAATGCCATGAATTTGTTTGATGCTTACTGGAGCTTGTAGCTCTCCCAAACAGCTTACAATATATGGAAAACATGCAGTTAACAAATAAGGTACTTCCTGAAAGTGAGAACAAGCCGGGTCAGTCCGTGGTGAAGTGTTTCATGCATTTTGTGTCAATTCAGCAGTTTCATTCATTCATTGAAGGACATAAATGTTTTATTTGTTTGTATCAGTACTCATCTGAGTAGCAGAACATCAAGGAAAAAGCCTCTTCAGAAGACTAGATACTCCTAATGGCACACTGAAGTAATGTTCCCTCAGTATCACCATGAGTAGATTTTCAACTAATTAGCTTAGAAAACGTCTTTTGATTTATTTGCACTACCTGTGATATACTGGTTCTCTCTAATGATGAAATAGTATTCAATTATGGTTTTGAAGAACATAATCTTTAGCATCAAAGAATCCTGCACCCAGGTAGATGAAACTGCCAAAAAGATGACCCAACAGGGTCTCTGAGCATACATCCAGAGTAACAAAGGAATTAGTTCTTTTCATATTTTATTCTTCAATCTAATACTTAAATATGCATCAATGCAGTGACCTGAGGGTAATAATAATAGAATTATGTGGTTTGAACGAACTGAAATATTGTATCATGTTTACTACTATACATATTGTACATCTAATTCATGCGAGCCTGTTGTTTCCTTGCATTTAGATATTTTTAATAAACAAATGAGAAACGGTGGCTACACTTTGAAGAAGATGAAGCAGTGGTTGATTTCTATTCTAAATTTTAAGCTCATGCTTTGATGTTAGCTTTTCACTTCTTAACTGGTACTGAAAAAAAAGACCTAGAGGATTTTACAGTTGAACATAACCAAACTGTCTTGAATAAGTGCATTAGAACAGATAGAGATAAAAGGCACTAAACATTTTATTTCTTTTAAAAAATCTCCATCTGAAAAGATTTCATTTATACACTGCTTTTTAATAGTTGGTAGTTTTTCAGTAAGCCTCTAAAAGCAGTGTCAGTGTAGTCTGAGTAAAGTACATTTGTTTTTACCCTATTTTTCATATTTTTTTACTCTTCCAGTGGTACTGGAAGGTCAAGCCTGTACATCTCTTCCACCATAATTCTCTTGAGATTTTATTTTGATGCATTTTCAACTTCTCTAAGTCAAGCTGCAGGATGAGACAGAGGGCAACCTAACCAAATATGCAGATACTACTAAGTGAAAGATGGTGTTGGACTACTTAACCTTGGAGCCTCAGTTCCAAAGGACTTGAAGATTTGGCTAATAGGAACTTCAGTAATTCAACAGGAAAGAAAGCAAAGTTCTGTGCCTTAGGTGGTCTAACCCCCTGTGTTAGTGCAGGCTGTGACATCTGGGCACACCATCTGAAATACAGAATAATTAAGGATTTAGCACATATGAGCTGCAAGGTGGGGGTTGGGAGAACGGGCATGGTTCAGTGTGGTAGAGATGAGGAGAAGGGGTAAAGAAGATCTAACTGCAGCCTGCAACCATCTTAAAGATCTTTAGAAAATCAGAGGCAGCAAATTCTCTTTTGTCTCAACGGTAGTAGATGACAAAGCAAGGGTCAATGTCCAAGAAGTCACAGCATAGAAAGCTTGCACTGAAAAAGCTCCTTCAGGAGGAGGGTAGTGCAGTGGTGTCGCAGGTTGCACAAATGTTCTGGAATCTCCATTCTCAAAGGTCATCAGGGCTCAGCGAGACAGACCTAGTGTTGGCCACAGACCCACTCTGAGAGGCTGGTCTGGAAACCTCCAGAGGTCCCTTCTGATGATCTTTTCTCTTTGTTGATGTACATCTCATACCTGCTCCTAAAGCACAATTTAGAAATTGATTTGTTTGAAGACAAATTGATCACTTTTTTTTAATTGGATATTGAGTAGTAGGGGAATAATGCTAAGAAAATTGAACCCAAAATTGCAGTCTGATTCTGAAGACCACTTCCTAGATACACTTTGCATCATGTAAATAAGCAGTTCCTTTGGAGCAGTTCTTTACAGCACAGCAGTTAACTCAGATGAATTATTAGTCAGATCATAACATACAGCAGCAGCATAAGTATTTGTAGCATTTTTTAACATCCCAGAGTTTGTTAGCAATGTACACCATTTTCTGGTTTTTTTCAGATGAAAGAAAAAGTAAAAAATAGTCTTTCCAAGCTGAGCACATGCTTTTATGATTCATGCAGTTGTGTTGCTATTTTGGGTTTAGAAACCAGCAGGGAAGCTACAGACATGAAAATCATTCTTTTGTAGGTATAATAAGCAAACTCATTATAAAAGTACCCTATATGCAAAATATTTTCTAAGTAATTCTTATCAATGATAGACAGAAATTCAGTCAGCATGACAGACAGCATTTTCAAAACTAATGCACAAGATACACAGGACATAACTGACCTGTGCAACAGCTGGGCACATGGTTTTGAAGGGGCAGTTTTATTTTCATAAATGGTTTGTAAATCTAGGCTGCATATAGCTTGAAGAATTTGCATGAAGCACTCACTTTGGTCCTCAGCTTCCATAGTCACAGCATTTTTGTTTTGTACAGGGTCTTTGTTTCTTGGGGAATCGTGGGCAGTTGTTATAAGCAATATAGAAGTGTTTGAGACAGATACCCTACCTGTGCACAGCTATTTACAGAGCTGAAGGCCTTGCTTACAGTAGCAAAGGGATGTGTTAACTAACACATTCTAAAATCCCTGGAGACCAAATTGTATGCGAATGTGCTTGCTAGACTGTCTTAAAATGCAAATTGTTTTGTCTGTTCCTGGGTTTCAATATGCTTTAAAATCGATTTTTAGGATATAAGGTCATTTCTGTTGCAAGGGTGTGATCTTCTCAGTCTACACCACTGTCGCATACGCTCTCAATCCTCTCCCTTGCCTGCCTTTCTGTGTCACAGTTTCAGAGGGAGATGAGATATTTCTCTGAGCAGATGCCCTCGCTCCACAGACCCCCAGCCTGAGCTGTGAGAGCATCAAGACTCCAAGATACACCAAGCTCTCTTCAGTCATGTAGCACTGGCATGGCCAAAATTTCTCAGCCATTGAAAATCCCAAACTAATGTATACTAGCAATAAATTAGGAAGCTTATATTACTTATTATTCAAAGAGAATCAGACATTTTATATGCAAACCAGCTCAAGACAGGAAATACATCTTTAAGAAGAAAAACTGTAAGCTACCAGTTATTAATATTGTTGACATTTTGTCCAGCCTAGACATGATGTGCCATAATTTTGCTGTTTGCTTATGAAGTATGTATGATGGCCTCCAGTCTGTGGATTTCTAATGAGAATAAAATACTGGCAGCTACATTTTTAGAGGGGGAAGGGAAAATACAAGCACTAGGAAAATAAAACTTAGTATATGCACTTCTAATACCCAGACTGTTCCCGAAAGTCACATGGGAAATTACTGACACAATCGACTTCTCATTCATACCTGTCTTACCATATCCATGTCCTTGTAGACTGGCAAATCACCTGAAGGGTGAGCATGTGGAGGGCTACAAACGCAGCCTCTGTGATTGGAGGTGCAAAAAGGTTTCTTACTATTCAGCTGTTTCTTTCAGACCAATGAAGGAGACAAATGATAAGGAAAATTATGCTGAAGCTGTAGTTCCCTGAAATCAGCAGCAAAACCCCTGTGGAGAGCAGTGGGGGAAAAAAAAGTCTTCTGTGCTGTATGTTCAGCATTGCTGCTGACCAGTTCTGTGATCATGGCATGCATCTTAGGGCCACAGTTTGCAAAACAACCCAGTGCTTAAATATAGAGATAAGCATCAATCTTGTTGCTAAAAGTTTCTAGCCAATAGAGTGCTGACTTAACTTGATTTTGTTGTAAGGCTTTGAAACCAGTTGTTATCTAACATTTGAACTTGTTCTCCTGCTACAAGAAAGCCCTCCAACAGTCTGTATATATTGTGTTGGTAGGGGATGGATGCTTTTTCAGCAAGGCTCAGGCTTTTGAAGTTTTCAACCCTTGTCTTTTCAACAGAGAGGTGCTCATGAGATTCGAGAAATTCGTCAGTTTCACTTCACTGGCTGGCCAGACCACGGTGTACCGTACCATGCCACAGGCCTGCTGGGCTTTGTACGGCAGGTCAAATCCAAGAGCCCACCAAATGCTGGCCCTCTGGTTGTTCACTGCAGGTAGGTAAAACAGAAATCTCTCTGTTGTGGTTTGCACTAAACTCAGAACCTACTTTTGCTTCTCCTGTACTGTATAATCCCCACACAGGTTGCTGAAGCCACTGGAGCTCAACCCGCAAGAATAAACAAGAATACACACACATATATAAAATATGTATATACAACATATAAACAAGAGTGAAAAATTGAGTCCAAAATCCTGCAAATGCCTGGCTCAGTTTCAGTAACCATTTATCTGATCAAGTACCTGTGAGATGAACCCTTACACCTTACCTTTCCAATAAACTGCTGAACATTAACTGTGCTCTTCTTCTATTTTAGTGCTGGTGCTGGCAGAACTGGATGCTTCATTGTTATTGACATCATGCTAGATATGGCAGAAAGAGAAGGTGTTGTAGACATATACAATTGCGTGAGAGAGCTTCGATCACGGAGAGTTAACATGGTGCAGACCGAGGTATTGTTAATCTACTGCAATACTGCTTTGCAAGAAAAAGTATTCTTCCAGCCCGTAGAGCTTTGTAGTTGGCACCCTCCAGAAAGTAGTTTATTAAATCTTATGCAGAAAATAATCCCTGCACAAACCTGAAGAAACCCTCCCCAAACAAGTGCAGTTACACTGCACTTAAGGTTCACAATTTTTTTTTACAAAAAAAGGAAAATCACAAGTGTTTCAACCCAGGAAGGATTCATTCTGGACTACAACTTCTTGTCTTAGCTGTGTGATAGCACCTACAGAACTGCACAGAGAAATGAGGAAACCAGAAACATTCTGAGTTTTATTATGGAGTGTTACTGCACTTCTCTAACTACTTGTAGTTGGTTTGAGTCAGTCTTTCTATATTAATTTCTAAATGAGTGGGATAAAGTTTCATGAACTGCAGTTGCTCCTTCTGGGCTTGCTTCAGTGCTGGTAAACTCAGAAGCAGCAGCCATATTAGTTGTTATTTTTTATTTACCAAAACACTAACAACTTGTGCTGTCTATGCCAGTAACTATATATTTTTATTGCTTTACCAGGAACAGTATGTATTCATCCATGATGCTATCCTGGAAGCTTGTCTTTGTGGGGACACATCTATTCCAGCTTCTCAAGTTAGGTCTGCTTACTATGAAATGAATAAACTGGATCCTCAAACGAACTCCAGCCAAATCAAAGAGGAATTTAGGGTAAGTTGTGGCTGGCAGTACCTAGAAGCCATACAGTTCAGCTGTACTAAATACTTCTGCTTAAGTGCTTGTTTATAACCATGTGAATTTTGGATCAAGCCTGGGAGGAAAAGATGGCAAAAAAAGGAAAATAACATGTCACTCATCGCTCTTGAGTTATGCTGAAACATAAAATAATGCGATGGGGTGTTAGTAAAATATTCTTTTTACTTGAGGGAAGTATGTCGATTCCTCCCACTGTCCTTTCTCCAGAAGGCAGGCTACTCTGCAGCTGTCTTTGAGGTTATTTTTCAGATCTGGGTGCTTCCAGGATTTTTTTGCTTCCAAACCCTGCTGACTGTGATGTGTTTTCATTTCTCTGCATATTGATTCACACTGAAACTGAATGCTGAGCTGATCTGTTCTTAAATATTTTGGGTTGCTTTCTCTGCTGTGTTAATTTTTCTGTTGCATTGTTTACTCTTTTTGAAAGACTTTAAATATGGTGACTCCGACACTGCGTGTAGAAGACTGCAGCATAGCACTTCTACCACGAAATCATGAAAAGAATCGTTGTATGGATGTTCTGCCTCCAGACAGATGCCTGCCTTTCCTCATAACGATAGATGGGGAGAGCAGTAACTACATCAATGCTGCACTGATGGATGTAAGTCTCCTCTACATCATTAATAATAAAAAGGGAATAAGCAGCCCTCCAAACTGAGCAATGCCAGAAAATGGATTCAGCATAAGAAGAGTGAAATCCTTCTAGCTTGTTTTGCTTTCCGAAAGCATGGCACAAAATCTTTAAACTCCCAAGTACATTTAGGATCCCACATATGTTATGTCACAGCCAAGGTTCCAAAGCCATGCACAGAGAGCAATTCAGGGAGTTTTGATAAATTAAATGTGTCTGGATTTCTCCCTAGTGCTTGAATTTTTAACCATCTGGCCTAGAAAAACAAGAGTTACCTATTAAGAGACTAAGGCATTTAAATAGAATAATAAGGTTTGCAGCAATATTTCAGTTCCCTTTGTTTATAATTTAAACAGTAATTAACAAAAAAAATAATTGTCTGTCAGCACAAGATAGTACACAAGCCATTACTTCAGTCTTTCTGTTTATTTCTGTTTGAATGAATGGCTTCTCCTCATGTGTGTGTGCATTCTTTTTCCAAATGCATCTATGGTAATTCTAATCCTGCTAATAGAATAACAGTAAAAAGACACTTAAACTGCCTTTACAGTCTGTAGATATTTATAGCCTATTTTTGATGATTTAGAGCTATAGTCATTATGGTTGTCAAACACATAAACAACAAGAAAATAGAGGTTAGCAAAAAAGGAGCACATTGTAAATGGCCTTTTTAAAAAGTGAAACTAGAGTAATAACAGTTTATAGCAGTTTTTATAATTTCTTTCCTTACGGGTTCTCAAAGCCTTTTCCTAAAATAAGCCTAAGTTGAAAACACTCCTGTTAAAAGGTAGGAGTATTATCTTAATATTTATCTATGTAGAGAAACTGAGAACAAAAGTTTAAGTGACTTCTCTGGGTCCTCACAGTAGGTCAACGACATTTCATATTAGAATGGAGCTTTTTTAATCTGCTGTTTGCAACTGTGCCATTACATTGTCTGCTTTCCTGGAGAGTTCAGCACTGTTTTGTTCTGTGACTTAAGTAAAGCTCAGAAAGAGCAGTGTCTTAATATTTGCTTTGAAGGTGCTTCCCTTCTTCACTTTTGAAACAGTGACCTAGATATGGAAGTGTATCTGGGCAAAAGGCTGCAAGGGAAGGGGTGATTTGGTTTGATTTCCACCTGAAGCACCTTAGCCAAGCTTCTGCAGTATCCCTGCACTGATGGACAAGAGCAGACCTCTGTCCATCTCTCTAAACACACAGTCTCCAGCAGGCAAGATGGTGTTTTCCACTCTCCACTTGCTACAGTTGAGATGCAGTTAGATCACCTCATGTAAGCCTTCAGAGCTCACTTAAATAAAAGGGGTAGCAAGCATAATTTTCATTATTCAATATCAGGATGAGTTTGAGAATAGTTTTCCCTAAACCATGGAGACTCCTTTGACCATCTGCATGAAACTTCCAGCAAACATGTACCAGCAGCATCAATACCTGCTGGTTGCAGTCTGCTGAAACCTAAACAAAGAACTGAAGTCTTGCATGTCTCCATCTGTGCCCAAAACACAGTGAATTCATTTCCTGTGGTCTCCTCAGTGACTGTCTCTGAAAGACAGATCATACAACCATAAAATATCCTGAGTTGGAAGGGACCCACAAGAATCACAGAATAGTTAGTATTGGAAGGGACCTCTAAGGATCATCCAACCCCCCTGCCAAGGCACAGTCCCCTAGATCTGGTGACACAGGA